CTAAAAATTTGCTCACCTGAACCCCAACCACTGGTGAGTGGAAATTGTTGTGGCAGGAACATTTCTAGTGGTAGAAGAACCTGGAGTGCAAGTTTTTTTTTTTTATAAAATAAAATGGTGTAGAAAAGAAAATTATATTCAAATTGAAGTCTGAGAGTACCATTTCCCACCATCTAGAGGTGCCATAATAATGGGGCTAAGGTGGTATTTTCCCTCTATCTGTGAAAGTTCTTCCCTGGCCCCTTCAATTTCGAATCCACGGCTATAAAAGAAAATGGGTGTGGCTAAAATAGAAAAAATTGAAGTACACAATTTATGGTCTGAACAAATTGGAACTGCCCCCCCCCCCAGCTAAAAAAGGTTGAATACCTGGGATATATATTCTTTCATGTGTATTTTTGTTTTAACAGACTGAAGAATTGGATTCTGAGTACCCAGATGAAGCTGACTATGTTGATTACCGTGCTGATGCTATTGTAAATAAAAATCTACAAAAGGAATGTTTACAAAAGGCTTCTGAAGCCCACCGGAAAGGTCAAACACAGCTTGCTACTTATTACGCTGACAAGGTCAGTAAATTCCACGCATCTCCATCTGCAATTGAGCATTACTGTACTTATTGTAGGTCAATCGTGACGTCATTTAAATTGACTTAGAAAGCAATTTGTAATGTTTACTTGGCTATGCTAATTAATATTCTCATTGGCGCAAGCACCTTTCATTCTACAACAGCACAGATTAATACATAAATATTGAGAAAAAAAAAATATATATATATCATACATAAAAGTATAAGCTGTTGTAAGGATCCCAGTCTAGAAGGAAAAAAAAACCTTGTCTCGAGAGGATCCGTAAAAAAGGAAAAAGAATAAAATAAATTTTGGTCAGCCTGAAAGAAGCTTATCACATACTGTATGGTTAGTTATTCACTTGTATTACTGTTCTTTTAGGGTCGTGTTTATAGTCAGAAAATCAAAGAGGCAAACCGGGAAGCATCTAAGAGAATTCATCAGAAGATGTGAGTTATTAAATTAAATGTGTTCATTCATCAACCAACATAAATTCTTTTTTGTTTTACTATCTTAAGGCCAAATACAATAAATTGTTGGTTTGCCCTTCTTTTTTTAAAAATGATAAATAGGGACAGGTGGAAAAACTTTCTTTTTTATTTATGTTTTAAAAAATATAGTACATCGGATGCAATTAAAATGACTCACAGAGGCCTAGAATGGCAATATCTTATATCAAACAACTTTAGACTAATTTGTAAGGCATCTGGCAAAAAAAAAAAAAATCACTCACATTTTTTTTTAATTTGTAAAGAAAAAAGCTAAAAAATAATAAACTTTTTAAAAGTTTTTTTGTTTTTCTGCCTCTATTTTTTTTTTCAGTGAGTTAGGGGCGGGTGGAGGAGGGCAAACAAACAATTTTTTTTTTGCCTAATCAATGTTTTTTTTTTTTTTTTATGAAATATAGTTTATAAAAAATAGAAAAAGGTGATTTCTGATTTTAGGTTTGGTTGGAAAAGTGAAACTTTGGTTTGCCTTGTTAAATTTAGTGTTATTCTCTCATTTAAAGTTTAAATTGATTGTATAATACTGTATTCAAAATAGGAAAATAATAACTTTATATATACTTTAATTTAAAGATTTTGTTCTGTCAGTATAGTTCCCCTGTAAATAAAAATAAATGTTCTTCATTATCTTTTCTTTTTACCTTCAATTACATCTGTTCATTTGTTTAGCGCATAACTTTTAACCTTTAATTTTGAATTGTTACATATCTTCCAGCAACAAAGATTATCTGAAGTCCAACATATTAGATCTGCACCATTTTCATGTTGATGAAGCAGTGGAAGTTTTACAGGATGCGCTTAACAACAAGAGACACGAGCTGCAGACACGGCAACAGAAACCCAAGACATTGTACCTGTCGGTGATAACAGGACGTGGTAGGAACAGTCCACTTGGAATTGCCAGAATCAGGCAGGCCGTCAGGGAATTTTTAGAAAAAAATAACTATCAGTGAGTTTATCCTGCATTTTGTATTTTTATTAAAAGTATTAAAAGTGAGAAAAATGTATATTATATAAATTTTTGTAATATTTAACAATTTCAATAAAAAGCATAACTACATTTAAGTTGAGCGTCCTCATATATGATAGATTACACAGGTTAAAATACTTCATGACATTTCTTCTAAAAAATTAGTTTATCTTGTTTTGGAAGAAAATTTGGTACATTCATGAGTTTTCTGCACATGTTTTACTCTTCTTTAAGGCTTTACAAATAAATATATATGTAAGGTATTCACTTAACTTCTTTATTTGTTTTTAAAGGTTTTCCGAATCTACGCCAGGTCTCATCAGAGTGTCTCTGAAGCCAGACTGTTAATTGGAATTATCTGGTTTACAGATGCCTAATGAACAAAACAAGTGTGTGTATGCAGTCAGCAATGTAACTTTTTATCTGTAGACGTAGATTTTTTATTTGGATTTCAGTCTGTATGTCTATAACAGCAGTGGAGCTGGATTCTGTAAAACATTTGCTAGATTTGATTAAATTGGTTGCAGAGTTCTGTAGACAGAATTCTTTCAGTAACTGTAGTTTTAACTGTAATAGTGTGTAGTAATTGATCATAGGTCTAAAATTTTGCTGAGTTCTGTAGAAATTAATTTCTATATTCTATACATAGTGTTACGTTATATAATCTTTTGCTCTAATATTTCCCTTTAATAAACCTTTAATAAGCTTGTAGGAACTAGTTATATATTTAGTAGAAACTGATATCAATCTTTGTATAATCTGTTGCTAAGTAGGTACGTTGAAACTGTCGCCATGCACTGAAGAAACTATTTCTAAATTTTATAGAAAACATTATGTAAAATCTATTGCTACTGTAATTCATTAGAAACTATTTCAAAATTCTGCAAAGGTAAGATTCTAGATTTTATATAAACTGCTGTTAGACTCTTTAGAAATTTCTACTAAGTTTTTTGCAGAAACTGTTATTACCTAAGATGTGTTTATAATGTTGCTACATGAGTTCTGCAGAAACTGTTTTTAAGTGTTTCAGGGACTTCAACTGAGTCCTGTCAAAATGTACTCAGTTCTGTGGAAACATTCAGTTCTGTGGAAACATTCTGGTCTGCCAAAATGTTGACATTGTTCTGCAGAAACTGCTACTGTTATCTAAATATAGTAGATTTTTTTTGTAGATTCTACAGAAATTATTGTGGAGCCTTTTTGAGCTTCTGTAGTACTAAGCAGTGAAGAACAAATAATACATAATATTATGTGAACACTAAGGGTATATAAACATTGCACTTACCTGATTTTTTGGTGAGGAAACACCCAAATCTAGGCCAACTCAGAACAGCATTGTGTGACGCAGCCGTGACGCGTTTTAAGTGATAGGTCTGCATTGGGGACAGTTGCATCGGGGAATATTAAATGTGCCCGATGATAAATCGTGTTGGACTGCGTTGTACGACGCTGTGTAAGTTGGCCACGTGCAGTGTCTATTATCAGAAGTACTCCTTGATCAGAACAAAAATTTATTAATTATCTTTGTTTTTTATGTTTGAAATTGTTTGTTTTTATTTGTTGAATGAAATGCATTTAAATGATCTGTCATTTGCTAATTATGAATTCCAAAGACAATTTTAAGTGATGAGATGAACTATGAGTACTGTTTTTAAAACTCTGTCCAGATTTTCAAAATTTCTTTTTGACAAAAAACTGTTATATGCCCAAATATAGTGATGATGTGCCTATATATGGTCATGATGTGATGCCTCCATGACCATATTTACGCATGTCAAATGTTTTTGTCAAATAAGATTTGATAGTCTGGAAAGGACTTTAGTGGATATATGCCTACTAGTTTGTATTCAATTTGGTTACAAAGATCTTTTGAAAAACACAATAAAGTTAATTTTAATGTTCATTAAATAGTAGGCGTACCTTGAGAGAGTGATTTCAGTCCAAAATTGATTGCAATATAAAATCGTAATAAAAATATTCCTTGACTTTAAGGATTCCATTTTAACTGTTTTTATGGAAAATATATATCAAGGTAATCATGTGAAAGATTGCTGATTTTAATTTATTGCTGTTGTCAATTTTGCTCAGAACAAATTCTCTAATGCTTTGTCCACATTATCAAGTATTCTGTGATAAATCTGTGACATCATCCCCATTATATGGACAAGTCACTCCCATTTGTCATGAAACCTAATAGTGTGGACATGGTGTAATAGTAAGTGCAATCATTAAATTATATTTTAGACCACAAAGAAGGTTAAGCGCTGTCCGCACTATCAAACTTTCTTTGACAAAAAACTGTCACATGCCCGTATATAGTCATGACGTGCCTATATATAGTCGTGATGTGATGTCATGATGACCATACTTAGGCATGTCACATGCTTTTGTCAAATAAAATTTGATAGTCTGGACAGGGCTTTAGGGAACAGTATACATTTATTAGTTTTAAGCTGTTTTCACACCATCAAACTTTATATGACATTTGTGTGATGTCCCGTATATGGCATTGTGATGTCAAATTATGCCTAAAATAATATGGGCATATTTCGTTTATTTGTCACATAAAATTTGATGGCGTGTTCAGAGTTTGACATGTTTTTTTTTCAATTAAATGATGAATCGCATTGTGAATACGGGTTGGTTAAGGGGGGAAATTAAGATTTTACAAATTTGTTTGATTCATACTGTTAGAATGTTAACAGTTGTTGTAGAAGAATTCCACTGATTGTACAATATTCATTCCTTGAAATTGAAAAATAAAATTCTAAAGTTTTCAGAAGATATACATATCATTAAATAAGAGGATTCTTGAATTGTAAATACTCTATAAAATTTGGTTGAATGTTCTTAAAAATGACCAATTTTGCATGAGAATAAGCTTTTTAATGGAAACGTCCATATTTTATAATGATATTTTTGTAAAATTGTTTAATCAGTCTACACAGAAATTATAGTTTTTAAATCAGTTTACATTTGCTGTGGATTTTCTTTGTAAAAATGAAATTATGACAAAGGAAACACAATTGTATGTAGATAAAATTTGAATACAATGCAGGATTAAATTAAATCTGTGTTTTCTGACTTGTTGCGCTTGTAAATATTAAGAGGAGATATTGTATAAATGCAAAAATTCATATTTCTTGTATGTTGTAAATAATTCATACAACTGCCTGGATATATAATACTATGGTGCTGTGATATAAATGTATATTTGGTATTTGTGATTTTCCATAGAGCTTTTTATGAATCAGACTATTGGATAGTCTTTTTGAAATGTAAAGTCATAAACTATGTTCATACACAACAGTAGCTTTACATTAACTCTTAGTAGCGCTGTGGATTAACGTACGCCCGACGTTAGGTTTGCCTCGTTCACACACAGAGTTGCACTAGCATTACGTTAATCCACTAGGTACGCCATGGATTAACGTGTGTCCGGTGTTTGTTATACCATATATGATCTGTGGTTACATCTTGTTCACACACACGAGTAAGCATTGCGTTAAACGCTAGCCTCGCCATTGTTAGTTACGCCTTGCGTATCTCGCAAGTCTCGACATAGCCATAATGAAGTAATGTGCGTGCCTTATTATATAGTCTTTCATGTACTGTATTGTTCTGTAATGTTCACTTATTAGGCCATGTTTTATTGACTCCCCTATTAAACAGTGGTGTATTTAGGAGTACTGAAATGGTTGTGGGGAGAGGGGAGGCAGGCCCGGAGGTGACGTGGGAGCACTCGATGATTTAATAATGTGGGGTGGGGAGGGCGGTAAGCTGGCAAAATATGGTGTGATAGGTAATTTTTATCTACTTGAGCATATTGTTTTGCCTCAGCAATTTTCAGTGAGGTTAGACTGGTGGGAGGGAATTATTTTGACATTGTGCTTCCCCACACACCCCGTAGATATACCACTGTCAATGAAGATTTTATTTTTAAGATGTAGCAATTTTTCCGTGTATTATAATTTTGAGCACATGATCACAAACATTTTGAATATAATAAATTTAGCTGTCAAAATCAGTGTACTTGCTTTTCTTGGTTTTTGCTATCATCTCGATATCTGCATCAGCAAACTTACTGTATTTCCATTTTTGTTTAGGCTAAATAAAAAAAAAAAATTGTTGGCAATTGTGTTGGCCACGCCCGAACAATCCAAATTTGACGATTTTTTTTTTTGATTTTTTTTTTTTTTTTGTTTACTTCAACAAACAATATTTTTTAATAAGCAGATAAGGCTGCAATAGTCTTGGCTAGGTTACGGGCCCAAGGCTTAGCCTATCTTGCTGGATGGTATTCGATGCAAATCCAAAATTGTTGAATTATTTGTGTATTTTCTATTTTTTAGGCGTAAACACATTTACATTTTACGGCCATATTGGCGGCCATCTTGGCGGCCATCTTGGCGGCCTTCTTGGATTTTGAATGAAAATCAATTATTTGCATAATTTATTAACTAAAAATTATATACAATCAAATGAATCTCTAAATGTATATAGTAAGCAGTGTTTATGTTCTCAATACAAACAAAAATTGACATCTCAATACATTTTTAGGCGGCCACATTGGTGACCATATTGGATTGTCAATGAAAATCATTAATTTGTATAATATATTAACTAAAAATCATAAAATCAAATGAACCTCTAAATATATATGCCTATGGTATTAATGTTTATTTTCTCAATACAAAGCATTGACATCGTACTACATTGCCAAGTCATTTTGGCACTGCTATATTGGTGGCCACATTAGCGGCCATATTGTCTTTTAAATGAAAATTGATTACCGTATAACATTCCACCTATATTATACAAAGGAATAACCTATTTTTTCAGAGTAATGGTGTCATTGGAAATTGATTGAGATCTATGACCTATGATTTAAGCATAGTTTAATACATTGAAACTACAAAATTATGGGAAGCCACTTTTTTTACACTCAAAATTTAACGCTCTGATCCTGGTGAAAAAGCGCTTTTAAATGGGATAGGCCTAATGTATGGTATAAAAAATATTTTAAAAACAATATTAGTACAACCATGGCACAAACTAAAAACCAATGGTCAAACTCAATGACCATGATTTTCTGGCCAAGGTGATTCAAGCTCCCTGTTCACAAATGCTATCCACACCAATGAACAACAATCAGATGAAATATTCAGTTTCACAATAAATACATTTAATATATTACTACACATGCTGTTACATCCAGCGAGTCTTTTCTGTGGATGTTTTACAAAGAAACTCCCTTATAAAATGTAGTTCTTTAAATGACTATAATTAATAGAGGATCCGCTCTACACATACTTTATTATTACTGTCGCCAAGGGGGTTATGCATTCACTATTGTTTGTGTGCCTTATAGCAAGATCACACAAAACGGATCATCATAGGCCTAAAATTTACCAGAGTGATACATAATAACCTAAGAGAAATCATAAAGGTTTTTGCAAAAGAATATCGGCCTATTAGCTTGCTTGAAGTTACCAAGCCGATGGTTCACAGGTTGAAAGTTGGGATATAGGTTATGGGTGCTTTATTGCAGCCACAAAGTTTGAAAGTATTTGAAACACACTTCTGACCAATCTCCATGATGACATCCTGTCACTACTTCCATAGATCCTTGATGACTGAATATCTGTGCCTGGCTGGTAGATAGGATCTATAGGCCAGATGGTCGAAATCCAGTTTGCCGAATGCCAGATTGCCGAGACCACTTTGCCGAATCCCAGTTTGCCGAGTGCCATTTATGTCTAGTGTAAGAACTGTTTACTGATGGGCTTCTTTTCGAGGCTACCTTTGCAACTAAAGAGGGGCTTCAATTCGAGATGGGCTTTTCAAGATTAAGCCCATTGTGCTTTCTCTTCGAGGTTTTAAGGTAATGAGTTTTACTAGTACATATACAAAATTTAATCGATTAGCCTACTATCGTAGTCAGTATATTTATATACAGGTATTCGAAATGTCATGTTACGTGTATACCGTACGTTAAATACATGTATTATTTAGGCCTATGTAGTGCATAATCCGCACAATAGGCCTAATATATAATGCTTCCTGCATAGTTACCAACCTGAGAGATTAAATGCGTGAGGATATAATTTGCTGGGAGGGTCCAAGCTGCAGGGGAACTACCCGCTCCCCCCGCCACTCCGACGATTTGGGCATTTTTAAGCTGTTTTAAAACGATTTCAGGGAGTGTTTGTTGAATACAGGTACACAAGCAAAAATATTATTAAGAAAGCAAATTTGAGTTTCAATGTATGCCTATGCTTAATTTGAGCTCCCGAACTATGTAGACCTACACAAATATTTCATTACTGATCATTTTTTTAGTAACTCATTAGTGAAATAAATAGGGCCTTCAAGGAAATACTCTCTCATGACTCAAGTTACTGCATCCCCGTTTATATAGTTTTAATACAACCAATTTCTATTAATTTTAAATACATTTTCCCCGGAATTTGTGATAATCGTTATCACGCACAGACTTGTGTTAAATGCGTGACAAATTTAGGATCACGCATTTGTTTCTGCAAAATGCGTGTTTCATCCAAAACCACTTTGAAATACGGGACTCGGCCCACACGATGCGAAACAGTTGGTAACTATGCAGTTGGCTGGGTCAGAGATTACAGTATCATTTTTTGTTCCTTTTTTTTTTCAAATAAACGACCACTTTTCGATCTATCGTCATTTTCCTGATTTTTTAACTTATGGTAGTCAGGGATTATGTTTATTTGCATTTTTATAACTGAAATGAGTGGATTATTGTGGTATTATGTCGTAACAAATTACCTTATGATACCCCATGGGTTGGAGTTTGGTTGCAAAGAGCCTTCCTTAGGTTGTATGTTGCCTATGTTTTGGTGAGATCAGTCTAATTATAATGAGATGAAGTCAATAAAAACATTTATAAGAAAAGTAATATTAATTATTATTATTTTTATCATAATAAATAATAGTTTTAATATCAATTCACATTAGTTTACATTTTCCAAATTATCTTTATACTGATAAAGTGTTAAATTGGTAGATAGGTTCTAGAAGATTACTGATAAGCACTTCATTATAAAATATATTGTTTAAGGTAGAAATAAACATGATACAAGTGGTAAACAAATCCTTAAACACGTTGAAATTAAGTGATAAGTACAATTTATGGATTGGAAGATGACTTGTCTCTAATTTTGCTTGTTTTAGAGTGCAATGTTTAGATTTTTTGAGACCGTGCCGACTCTTGCTGTGTCTGTTGTTGATGCTCCAATTCAGTTCAGTGATAACAGGTAAGGTGTTACGTTCCAGTGAACCATCCATGTGGGCTTGAGTTAGAAAAGGTCTGACGGCCTTCGAGAACTAACCTGAAAGAAAAATAAACCCATATTGTTAAGGACGTTTTAAATGAGGGCATCAGGGCAATGTGAACACAAGCTGAAGTAAAATGAATTGTTGAATTGACAATGTGAACACATCAGAAAATTAAGTATAAATCAAAAGTCATCATCATCATTAACTATTCTTCATCATCTATACCATCATCATCTTAACCATAATCATATGCACCACCATCATCACCATTATCGGGCCTAAAAAAATGTTCAGTGCTTGCTGTCACGTCATAAAAATTTGAATACAGGGGCGGGTGAGAAAAAAACTGTGCGATTGTCATTTTTTCACAAAAAAACGATCATAACTTTTTTTTAATTTTTTAAATAGTACAAATTTCCACATGACACGGATCTGTCCCAAAATCGACGAAAAAATGGTTTTCATTTGATTTGTTAAACTTTTTTGGAAAGTAAAAAAACCGCTCCTAATTTTCGGGATTTTAGGGGCGGCGGATGACAGCAAACAAGTTTTCTTTTAGGGCTCATCATTATCATGGACATCATCCTAACCATCCTCATTCCCATCATCAATGAGCCGAAATCGATGAAGTGAGGAAATAGCAAAATCACAAAGCTGATGGTTTTGTCGAAATTTGACGATTTTTAGACAGTACTGTTTTTTTTGTGTTGCTCTTTATGTTATGTTTCACCTAAGGATCATACTAACATGCACTTACACACCTTGTGAATGGTGAAATGAAAAAAAAAAAAATAAAAAAACTAGGTTAAAATAGCTGTTTTTGTCGAAATTGGACAATTTTTACCCTGCTTTTATCCGAAAAAAAAAAAAGGTTAAAATGGACGATTTTTTTACCCTGCCTTTATCCGGTTGTTTTGTGCTCTGCACCTTTGTTAGGATCATACCAAAAAAAAAAAAAAAAAAAAACTCCAATTTCATTTTAGTTTCAACATGTTCAATATCCAGAGATCGAGTGTCGAGTGTTTACATTCTGGAGACCACTAGTCAATACAAGTGGATACCATGTTTGTAAGTGTGTTTCTGTTCTTTAGTATTCAAGTTTTCGCTCTTCGTACGCTGGTCACTTAAATGCACGATAGAGTTACTTGCTCGGCCCCAGTCAACTGAACGGAGGGAGGAAGCAGTGCGACCCCTAAGCCGTGATGATGCACTGAACCTAGCATACCATCCCGAGTGCCTGTCAGTTGACCGAGACTCCCTGTGCATCTCCCCTGCAGTCTGTTAATCGCCTAGTCCTGTCAAGTATCACCACCAAGCGATCATCATAATTATGATGCCGCAAGGCTAAGTACTCAACCTCGCCAAGGCTCGGGCCTTCGCCAAGACCCGGGCCCAGACTCAGCGGAGGGTTACCGGCGTATTACCGACAAGAAGCCTCGTCGACCCCGGAACCCGTCAGGGAGAGAGTCAGGTGATTATATTTTGCCTGCGATTAGAATATATTCTGTTCAATTGTACGTATGGTATTGGTGTTATTACCTGCAAAATCAATCAACGAGGATACATTGGCCTATTTATTGTATTATTGTACAGCGAAATTTCCTATTTTTGCCTTATGCTTAAAAGTTTTAATGATTTTAGTGAACATTAGTATTATCTTAAAGTACTTTAAGTAAAGGCTACTAAACGTGTTAAAATATATTCTAAAAT